GCCAGCCGGCAATTTCTGGCTGCGGCGTCGCGCACTTCAACTGATCCCAGCGCTGGCCTCCGGCAGAGTCCTCTGCCAACCACTGAAGCTCCTTCCAAGTTCGCCAAGCTGGCACTTCCAGCGGCATGCCACAAAACATGTTTCTGAGCAGGGACGCTTGCTCATCCACTAAAGCAGTGTAGCAGACTTCCGAACACAACCGCCAGTAGCGAGTTTCTGGACACAGGTACAATGCAGATGCAGAGCCGCATTCGTCACACGTCAACAGTTCTGGGAGCTCGCAAGGAGAACGCTTGCGAAAGACGTAGCATTCCGCGCGCATGCTCGGGAAGCAAGGCAACGAAACACGATGCTCAAGCACATACCGGGACCGCAAGGTTTCGTGAAAAGACTGAGTCCCAGTCATGCCTGTGGACCACTCACCAACGTAAGCCACGTAATTCCCACGAAACTCCTTCAAGGCTCTGTCTGCACAGGCAGGCTCCCCTGGAGGCGGCATGCACAACAGCAGCATGTCGCACGAAAGCTTCTTCAGGGAAGATGCATCTCCCAAGTCTACCTTGTGCATGTCATCGCCATCTTCGGGCGGGTCGATATCCAAAGCCACCACATGGACACCCCGCCGCCGCAGCAGCGCTGCCCAGTATCCCACACCAGCTCCGAGCTCCACCAGCCCTCCGCGAGAGTACTTCTTTATAATCTTCAAAGCCCTAGCACTCGGCACAGCAAACCCATGGCATCTCGCCGATGCGTCTCTCCCAGCGAGTTGCCAATTCAGCACAGCCTTCTGGAGTCTGCTCCGTCTGTGTCTGTCTGTCGCGTTGGTCGTTGCATAGAGTTCCACGAGGCAGCTGGCCTCCAACCAGCGCGCTCGCAGGAAGCGCAGCGGCAGCGGAGCGGCTTTCCACGGCGGCCCAGCACCGCGCAGCAGCCAGGCCTTGCGGAAGTCCCAGAGCACCGCCCGCTTGGTTGCACGCTTTGTGGATAAAAGAAGGCTTTGCACTGCCGCGCGAAGCTCTGGTTTTCGCTGCAGATGGCATTCGCAGGCTGCTTCCGAGAGCTCAGCCGGATGGCGAACGTCGTTACCGCATCGCCCGCGCCAGAGCCTAAAGAGGAGTTGGTCGAAGAAGTCCAAGTGCCGGAGCAATGCCTCAACGGACTCCGTGCTGGACTTTCGCTTCGTCAGCTCCTTCGGCAGGCAGCCAAGGCCAGCACTCATCCATTGCGGATCCGCTGCGAGTACCTGGAGCGCTTCCTGAAGCTTGTCTTCCAAAAACTGCTGCCACTCTGTCGCTTCCGCTGAGGCAAGGCCAATTGCCCAGGACAGCCGCAAGGCAGCAGCCGCAGCAGCCGCGAGGCGCCGTGCAGACTCCACGCCCAGTGGCATCGCCTTGGCCTTTGCCTTCGAATGCTCTTTTTGCACCCGTGCGAAGAGCTCCGCGCCCAAGGCAGCAGGAGGCGGCCATGTGGGTGCCTCGGCCTCAGGCCGCGAGAGGCTCTTCGTTGCCTCTTCAGCGCGGGCAAGCAGAGATTCCATGGCGCACTTTGCACTTTTCCTTCGCTTCTTCGGCCGTGTCTGCTCCGTGCGATCGAGTGACTCTGGAATCATTGGTGGCCGGTCAGGACGGGGACAGACGCTGGTGAAGGTCCTGGGCCGACAGTCCTCCAGGATGCCGTGGTCTCCTCCAGTCTGCCCAGCGC